CCCCCTCCCCGAACCCCCGCCACCGGCGACTCGCACCGGCTCCGGCCCACGTCGGCTCACCCAGAGACCGGCCAGGACTTCACCAGACCATGCCACGCTTGGCACGGCTGCCTTGACCGTGAGACTTCGGATGTCTGGAGGATGCAAAGCAGCAAAGCGCCTGCAGGCACCCCCGAGCTCACCGGGGCTGGCACGGCGGTGGAGGACAAACGTCGACATCTCCCGCTCCCAGAACGTGCGTTTCCAAGGGGTTAGGAGAAGGGAGCCCAGCGGCTGATGGTCTGCCACAACTGAAAGGTGCCAACAGCCCCAGCAAACCAGGTTTTCTCATCCGAGGCAGGTGGAGCCAAGCAATTCTCGAGTCTGTTTTCACCACCTGTAGCCGTAGCCCGTGACTCACGGACACGTGTTTAACGCTGCCGACTGGAGCGGCACCGCCGCTTCCCCGGGAGTCCCGGCAGCCAGCCGGAGAGGCCAGTAATTTGCTGTACTTGTGGTTTCACTGGTAACGTCACTGCCAGGCATTTTGATTTTTCACCCCTCTCCAATTAAAAGCTTCATCCGAATGGGCTGGCGAGCAGCAGCCCCGCCAACAGTGACGTGCCGGAGACACACGGGGGGAGCTGCTCCCGGTGCTGCCTGCGTCGCTTGTGCTGCTCACGCACCTCTGCCACGGCTGCCCACCCTAAGCTTGTCGGGAAGCGAAGGGTTTGAGATCCTGCTCATCCCTCCTCGCGGCTGATCTCAGACCACAGGCTGCGGGGCCACCGAGCACCCGCTTTCACAGGGCCCCATTCCTACCCGTGACCTTCAGGCACCAGGGAACACCGACACGAACCGTGATGGGTCTGGTGAAACACCCGGGAAAGAGGCGGATAAAACGACAGACCCAGTCGAGGACTAAAGCCCACCTGGAGAACCAAGCGGACCTTAAGACGTGGCATAGTAATTCTATTTAAATCAAAAAGGCAGATATTTACAGACAATGATAAAATATCAAAGTCAGACTTTATAGTATTACTCTATGCAACATTAACTTGTAATTTCCATCAGCTAGATTTTTGAATTGCTGCCTATATGTTCAGACTGAAAGTATCAAATCGATTTGTGGGGGGAAGAGGGCTTCTTCCAATGTAATAGGTAAGCCTTGGCAGAAATAACTGTATTAGATTGTTGGCTTATATTTCAGCTTGCCTTTTCAAGTGTGTTTGGTCATGTCTGTTCAATTAATCATTACAAAGAATAAACAGCCGGAGCAGCCAGGACGGTACACACAGGATCGCTGAAGCAGGGATGGGGTGGCAGGGAGTCCTGCCGCCGCAAGGACCAAAGGGCAAAGAGGGAGTCTCGCAACACGGAGATAAGGAACCCACCAGCCCAGCCAAGCTCAGGCGTTGCACCACGAGGTGCATCACCCCACGGCTGCCCAGGCCCTGGGGGCTATTTCCAGCCTCCCTTCAGGGAGGAAGCTGGGAACAGTTACGGGGGGCTTCAGCCTTCCACGGGGGACACCGAGGTTTGCAGGGACACGGACAAGAGGAGAGCGTCCTGCAGACACCCAGCTCGGCAGCGTCACCGGCAGCACACAACAGCAGCCTACCTTGTTTGAAGGTTCCAGCTTCAACGCCGCCTTTAAGATGGGGATGGCCTCTCTATATTCGCCCTGCTGAGCCAGGACCTGGAAGGCGAGACAGGGATTGAGCAGGACGGCTGAGGTCTGTCCCTCGGTCCCGCCCTCCGTCTGCCACGGCTGGGCCCGGCCACGCCGTGGAGAAGGAACAGCAGCGCCCGCCACGCGCCCAGCCTCACCTTGCCCTTTCGGAAGAGAGCCTTGATGTTCCCCGGCTGGTGCTCCAGGACAAGGTTACAGGACTTCAGGGCTGCCTCGTAATGGTCCAATTTAAGCTGAGAGGCTGCCAGGTTGTTGAGACATTTCACCTTCACGTCCAGCAGCTCAGCCTCCTCGTCCGGGCTGAAGTCGACTGCAAAGACCCCAGAGCCAGGTTACCGGGGAAAGGGAGCCCAGGCGGCCCTCGCCCGGGGCAGGAGCAGGTACCTTTTGAGCTGGAGCCGATGACCTTGAGAGCGATGTCGTAGGAGTTGATGGCCAGCACGTAATCTGCCTGCTGGTAGAAGAAGTTGCCGCGCTCCCGCTTGCGGTTGGCCAGCTCTATCTTCTCCTTCCCGCTGAGCAGCTCCAGGTCCGGCGCATCCCGAGCCCCCAGCAGCTCCACCTCCAGGGCGAGAGCCGCGTTGGGTGGGACGTCAGGCCTCCTGCGCAAAGAGAGGCACAAAGCTGTGGCACCGTTGCCACCTCTGCCAGCTCCACCAGCCACTGGGCCACATAGATTTAGCACCGCGGCCCAGAAATCAGAGCCACGGAAGCTCCCCAGGACAGGGCGCGATGCAGATTGTCCCCCCCAGGCATGACACGCTGCCGTCCCCTGCACATGGCAAGCGAGCCGGGCCTCCCTGCCCTCGGACGCTGGGCTTGTTGGCTGGGCTGTCACCGGGAGCGCAGGGGACAGCTTCCACAGCCCTCTTTGGGGCCACCCTGCTCCCCCCCACGCCCTCCCCGCTCACCTGCCCTGAGCGCCGTAGCAGTACTTTGCATCAGACATGATCAAAGCCGTCTCCCCCATTTCCAGGAGCTGCACGCACAGGTCCAGAGCCTGCAGGGAACAACATCGTGGGGAGGGAGCATAAGCAAGGGCGGAGGGGCCACTTCCAACCCGCAAACAGGGATGTCACCAACCCCAAACCCTCCCCGCGCCCTCCCCAGGCGAGGTCCTGCCCCGCAGGGCAAAAGCATGGCAGCGATAAAGCCAGGCAAGCTTTCTCCCAGCCCCGACCTGCAAGACGTCGCAGTCCCCCAGCGTGAAGGTGAGGGCAGGGTTCTCCTCCACCACGCTGCCGTCCTCCAGCGTGGCCTTCAGGCGGACGGTCACTTCCTGGCCCTTGCGGGGACGGGGGTCCACCCCCTGGCCCGGCACCAGCGTCTTCTTCTTGAGCAAACCGCTCCCTGGGCAAGGAGAAGCCGGAGGCGCGTCAGACCACGTCCGGGAGGGAAAATCCTCGCTCCCACCGCCCCGCTCTGACTCCCGGCCAGCCTTCATGGCGCGGGGAGCACCGGCGGAGCCACGGGGAAGCCCGAGCTTCCCCCACAAGCCGAGCGCCCTCTTTCCCCAGGTTCTCACCCAAAACATTGAGCCACTCCTGGGGGTCCTCAGCCGCTTCCCCGCCGCCCTGCTCCGAGGGCTGGGCGTCCTCCCGCGGCGGGGCCGGCGGCCTGCCCACGTCCTCCAG